GGGGGGGGGGGGGGCTCCGACCCCTGCCCTCCCCGCCAAGAGGCTTACGTACTTGATAAACGGCCCCTTTTGAGTTTATATTTTGTAATTTTTCAGTTGAGTTGAATTTTCATCATAGTCATAAGTGTTAGGACAACATTTGAATTCGAAAGTTCTGGTTCATCCTGATGAGGAGTAAGATGAAAAATCTTTATACGGCTAAAACTCATTAAAAAAATTCCACATCGGTTGTGTTTGAGTACGGAGCAGGTAGAGGACCAGGGGAGCTTACTCAACGCATGAGAGAAAAACCAAGCGATGTAATCGAACTTAATTAATTCTCCGTGGGAAGGGACTTTGACCGGTCATCCCACTCTGGGGGAAACTTCCGAGGACGAATGAGATTGGAATGGAATTCCGACTCCGTTGGTAAATCCGTGGGCAGATAAAACAGTCGGTCGATGAAAATGGTCATAGGCCGAAGAATTTGTTTCAGCCGAGCAATACTCCTTAGCCTCTCAGGATTCAGAGCCCTTAGCGAGAGTTGAGTGAAATTGAAACTTTTCCGAGGACTTCAAATTACTTTTAATTTAATTATTATTTTTTTGTTTGTCTTTGGTCTGAAGGACTTCCACAGCTTCGAGGAGGGGTTCAAAGGGACTTTCTCAGTCCTAAAAGGATGGTCAATGTTGATTTTTTCGAAGCAAAGTTTGCTTTGAAGCAAGTTTTCATCATAATCCCCGCTACCTTATTTGTTTTGAAAATGCCACTTACTTCCTTTATTATACTGGAAATCTTTGAAGGTCGACTCATTATTAAATTGATCATTTAATTGCTCGCTTGATTAATGCATTTTTTTCGCCTGTTTTTCTTGTTTTTTTCTATTCTCAGATCAGTACGTTGGGTTGCATTTAAGTCATCTCTTTCACTAAATCACATATCATGATGTTTTTCAGGTTCTCGTGCGCATAGAAAAATATAAGACAGTTGCGGTTTACCTGATCACGATGTACCTGGTTATTGTTGAGGATGATTAAGCTCACGACTGTGTGATTACTTACCTGAAACAGACAAAAATGAAAAAATATGAAACGACTCTACATTCAACGTCATGGGAACAAGACTCCTGTTTTCATTTTAAGACGGTCTTGTATGGGAAAGGCTGACGCGCACTGAAGCCTACAAATCGAAGGCCTACAAAATCCCTTCAGGTTTGTAGGCGCTAATGTGCGTTACGAGCTGCGGCAGCACGCCGCGCCGCGCCGCAGCGTGCCATATACTTACCCACAATTAAAGGTCAGGGTGTTAAAATCTTGGCAATTTGACATCAAATTCAAAAAACATCAGTAAGTAAAGTTTCTTGATCTTTTAGTCAGTATCTGACTTATTTCTTCCTATTCTTGAGTTTTGGACCATAGTGCGCCGCGGGCGGCGGCTCATGAAATTCTCCCTTGTGCTCAATCGGGGAAGGTTGTGAGGTGCTTATTTTGGCTCTGAAAACTCGCAACTATTGACTTTTTATGTTTCAATATGTTTTTCCAACAATGTTTGACTATAACTGAAAATAATTTGTAGGTAAGTTAAAAATATATATTTCACATACTTAATAACAACTTTCATTTCGACTCGTCCCGTTTTGAAGGTATAAACATTTTAAATTACGCTCTGTACGTCAAAAAAGCAGAAGTTGGAGGGTCATGGTAACTAATCGTCACCTTCCAGGCAAAGTATCACAAGCGCCATGCGACGTTTAAAAATTTCCGCCGCCATTTTATTTCTTTACTGAGAAATTGTTGGTTGAATCTGTTTGGAAATTTCACAAAATTTTATCGGCAGCACAAAGAAAATTCAGTGAAATTTTCGGACAGCTTCGTTGAACAATTTCTCTGTAAAAAAATAAAATGGCGGCGGAAATTTTTAAACGTCGCATGGCCCTTGTGATACTTTGCCTGGAAGGTGACGTAATGTTCAAATATATGACTTTCAATGTTAGATTCAGTGGTGACTGGTGATGTGGGTCTTTACACAGGTTCCCTGATGAAATGTACTTTGACTCTCCGATTTCTGTTTTTTAGACGCACAGAACGTAACTTAACATGGTGACATGGTCCTTAAAACAGGACGAGTCGAGGTGAACGTTGTTATTACATGAAATATATATTTTTAACTCACAAATTATTTTCAGTTACAGTAGAACATTGATAGAAACACATATTGAAACATAAAAAGTTATAGTTACGAGTTTTTAGAGCCAAAATAAGTGGGCCAAAATAAGCCTTTCCCGCTCCTTTTTAAAATTCAAAGAAGTCTCGGTTTTCCCGACCGACTTCTGACTGGTCTATTGACCAATCAGAAGAGCGGCTTCATTTTTAGCTGTGACGTAGAAAAGTACATTTCTCCGCTTGTCACCACCTTCTGTATTTTCTCTATGCGCGTTTAGCGCGCAGGTGTATCTGGCCCTTGAGACTGTTCAGCTAAGGCTAAAAAGGATTCGAGAGGGGCAACTGACCAGCAAAATGGGAGACGCTGACCAAAACTTCGAGCATGATGCAGCGGTGGTGGCCGACCTCTTGGTTCACGGGCGAGAGGTGCCTCCTGGTGTCGGGTGCCGATCACGAGCCGCGAGGGCTACATCATTGAACGTCGCCAGGAGCGTCCCAAGTTTGATTTATCACTTTTTCGCGGCCCGGAGCGCGGAGCCGGAGCACGATTGCGAGTCGCGAAAACGTATAAATAATCCCACTGTCTGCGGATGCGCGTCGAATAAATCCTCGCTCCGACACTGAGCAGGGTTCAGCATGCAGGATAATACGTGATCACTGTCTGTTCCCGATATCCCGTATTTAGTGTCCGTTCACAATCAGGTTCCACTCTTCCTTTATTTGGGCATATTTAAATCAAACATTGGCAGCAAATTGGCAATATTGTCTTTTTTCCATTTAAACCTATGGAAATGTATCGATTCTTGGAGGGACCAGGTGCTCCGACAAGAAGCGATTGTTTAGCATAGGTTTAGATGGTTTAAGAGTTAAAATAAATAAATTTTTAGATTTTGTATAAAGTCATGTTTTAAATATCTAGTTATCCTCCTAAATCCTCCCTCCGACAATGAGGAGGGTTCAGCATGCAGGACGAGTTCACTGTCTGTTCCCGATACCCCGCATTTAATGTCCCTTCACAATCAGGTTCCACTCTTCCTTTATTCGGACATATTTAAATTAAACATTAGTGGGTACAACAAATTGGTAACATTGTCTTTTTCCCATTTAAACCTATGGAAAAGTATCGATTCTTAGAGGGGTCAGATGCTCCGACAAGAATCGATTGTTTAGCATAGGTTAAGATGGAGGATAACGGTGTTGCCAAATTGCTGGATCCGCTTTTGAAACCGAGAGAAACTATTGCCTCGAGTTAGGTTACTGTGACCCAAGGTGATCGCGATAAGTTGAGATTTGATCGGATCGCTATTCTATCCACGTCGATTAATTAGAATAGCATTGGACCAAAAATTGTGATAAATTGCGATTTTTTTTTAATTTTTTACGGCGATTCATTGCAAAATTATTGAACACAAATCGTGAGAAATTGAGATAAAATTTCCATTTTATCGGACGTGATTTAATGGAGATAAAATCGTGACTAGATTGAGGATAATTTCTTAGACGTTGATGATCCTAGCGATTTTATCACCAGAAAATCGTATAAAAATCGCAACTCAATTTCAAAACATCGCGATTTTTTCGTTGAAAAATTATACTTGGGGACATGAGCCGTTATATGCATGTATTTTTATGGATTTCAGTGTCAAGATTACAATGGCTCATTTTGATTTGAAATACAATCATTATCATTTAGTTACTATTTGCGCCCGTAGCACAGTCGAACGAGCTTTTGTTAGAAATCGGACATGAAATTTTTGACTGAAACTGGAAATTTTGAGGTTTTTTCATAACATTGTGAATCTTAAGGGAGGTTATTTGGGAGATTTCACGAGCAAACGAATGAAACCATTTTTACACGTCCACGTTTTGTATTGACGAAGATAAGCAATAAGCTTTTAAAGTCACCACACCATGTCTGATGTCTCCCTTTGAATCGCTAATTAATGTGCCGTTGACATGCATTATACGATATCATCCACATGGTGCGGAATTAGACTTTATGGAGAAAAAAGAGTAGGAGCATTAGGCCTAATAGGCTGAATATTCCATTTTTTAAACAGATTTTGCCACTGTCTTGAGAGCGAAGTTCCATTCAGAAGCTCTTCACGCATCAAGGAAATAAGGAAATTGATGTCTACGGCGAATAAAATTAGTGTAATTGAAAGTTTAATTTGCCGCAAACGTAAAAACTTTTGCACGATGCTCTGCCATGCGTCGTGGCTGTCATTATGTTGTTGGATCCTGTTCCATTAAAAAGTTTTTCGTAAGATGCATAAAAAAAGTCAAGGAAAAGTTCTTGGACTCGAAAAGTGGAAATAAAAGATCTGGTTGCGAAAAAGGAAGAGAAAAATCAAAAAGATAGAAATTTCAACTTTCAAAACTTGAATACTCCTTTGTTGACTGATTTTATTACCTATGTTCTGAATGCGAATTTGGCGGCACCAAAGACAACGCGTAAATAAGAATAGGCAGTTAAAATATGCTATTAAAATTGAGGACAAATCGAGTCGTTTTGTAAATCAAATGACGGAACAAAGACATTTCAATTCAAAAAAGAGATTTATTCCCTAAAAACCCTAAAATCATGGATGAATGTTCAATATTATCAGAGAATTTTGCTGCATTATAATTTAGCCACTTGACAAGCAAAAACATAGTGTCTTGCAAGTTAAGAATTTAAGTAGTTGAGGATCTTAACAGTACATGTTCATCGTTCAGAGGCATAAAAAGTTTATAATAATTAATTTTCCATTAAAACATAATTTATTTTGTGACCATATCACATGTATTATTATTTTATTATCATGAGTTTGATTTAATTGCAGAGTAATAAGTCGCTCCCTGTTTCCCGCGCGAACTCTTAAAGGGTATGAACCACATTCCTGACCAGTGGCGAGACGTGATTTGTGATATATCGATTGATCTGTCATTTAAAACTATGGAAAAGGATCGATTATCAAGGTGTTCGGAGCGAACACCTTGATAATCGATTCTTTACTACAGTTTCAAATGGAGAAAAATCGATAATCGATCATTCACGCCACGCCACTGTTCCTGACCCTAAGTATAGGTGGAAACAAAAAGCTCGAGCCATCGCAACATCGCAAAAAAAGGAGAAGAGAAGCAAGAAAGAAAGTAAGAAAACCCCCTCAACTTAATTTTCCAAATAATATGAATTGACAAGGAGGAAAATTATTCGTGTGGAATCTTAGGACAGAAACGAAAAGAGCCAAGACTCCTCTCGCAGTCTTCTGCTCCGAGGGTGCGTAACGAAAGACGAAAATATAACATCTTAAGCAGAAGGATAACAAAGAATTACACGCCCACGGTACGCTTTTCGCAAGGGTGGATCCAAGCCAAAAATGCGTGGGGCACATGCTTACACGTGCATCTCGTAGCAACGACTGAATTGAGGGGCACGTTTTTCACATGAAAGAATAATTTGCACACGGCTATGTACAAAATAATCCCCAATATATTTTGCAGGATTTTTTAATAAATCAAAAACCTAAATTACACACTGAAAAAAAAACACATTGGATCTAGAGTCAAGACTCTTAAAAACATCGACAAGAAAAAGTACTCTTGATTCAATCGGATTTAAGCTTAAATCAAGGACCAAGCCTCTTAATTGGAGCGGATTTCCTTTTGATTTAAGCTTAAATCTGATTGAATCAAGAGTATTATTTCTTGTCAATCGAGTCCGGACTCTAGATCCAATGTGTTTTTTTTTCCAGTGCAGGAGGAGAAAATTGCAAATGAAGTCCTAAGTTACAGGGATAGAATAAGTTTTCAATCGAATTTTCGTCGTGAAAATTGTCGACTCTTTTCAGACCATCGACGTTGGACAAATCCCACTGGTCTCCCACAAATTAATTACAAAAGTAATTAAGACCTGTCCCCGGTTGATGTTCTACAGTTCCCTTTTTCCTTAAAACTTCTTGATAAACGGAGGCGAAAGAGTTTAAGGAAAAGCAAGCTGCGAGTCCATTATGAGCGAGTGAACTTCGGATCCTCGAAAGGGGGACAGATAATTCCTCATCAGACTGTGAATGGGGATTCTAACTCGTTATTTGGTGATAGCCGACAACGTATGCCCTCTCGAATACTTTCGTGCTAAAGAAAAACGCCGTATTAACGTTCAAGCGTTGCCAAATTTCTTTTGGTAAATCACGAATTTTCGGGAAAATTTGTCAATATTTTTCTGCCAATTTTTCAGAGAATTTCGTTCTAAATTTAACCTAAATCGCCTGAAATTTTCAAGGCTAAATATTGATAACTTTCCTCAAAAATGAACATTTTACTGAGGGAAATTTGGCAACTCTTGAATGTTCATACGGCGTTCTTCCTTAGCACGGCAGAATGGGTCTCAAAAGGAGCAGCCAGCGCTCCGCTCGAACAGAAATTTACGCTCTTAACATTCACCTCGCGCGCAACGGAATAATTTTTGATTCGGAACTTTTTCCACCCCCCCCCTCCCCCTTCCCACTTCCCTCGCTTCCCGTGACCAACTTTCGAGTTGCTCTTTAAACGGAGGCGGAGCGCTCCACCAGTGTTCATTAGAGAGAAATCATTTATAGGTCTCGCTCTAATTACGGACGTTTATATTTTAAACGGATCTGCCTCGGATCTCAGGAGCAATTCCAATTTCCTGGCGGCAAATTTTTCTGCAACCTCACTCTCCTGTTAGCATAAAGAATATTTTAATAGAAAAGGCAAATTGAAACATTTGAAAATATTTTGATTATACATTTATTATTATTTACTCGTACTTTTTTTTAAAGTTGATTAAATACTCAAACCTCCCTATCTTCGTACAACGACGACGTATGATTGCTATGACAAGGTTATCACAAGTGGAAAAACTTAAAAGGGTTCCGGCTTTTTAATGACTAGGTTTGGATGCAACTATTTGTGTTCTTGGGATATCCGTGTTGCATACACAAAAAATTGCAGGCATCACTAGTTTCCTTGGGCACAACGTATGGGTATGGTTGTTAGTTCACATTCACACACAGGAATTTTTCATTGTATTCACAGTCGTGTCGGCCCCGAAATCTTCGAAATTTGGACGAGTCGTGTGGCAGTGTGGCACCATGTCAACGTACCAAAATGGTGCAAATTTTTCATCAAAAACATTTCCACACAGGTATCGCGGACGTCAGTCCTGCAAATAACTACCCATAACATTTCCATAACTTGCACCATTTTGCAACGCTGCCATAGTGCCATACGACTGCAACTCATCCGAGAATCGAGTATTTCATCATAAATTCGTACGAATGTATCCAACGTATAAAACCCTTGAGAACTAAAAATCGTAGCCATACGTGGTAAGAAAACCAGAGCGCCTGCTATTTTTTGTGTATGCAACACGGACATTCTGAGAACACGAATAGTTGCATCCAAACCTGCGGGCCGATTTTTGAAATTGATAGACATAGCTACAGACAATGAAGACAAAAAGGATACGGTGGGATCCTATTGGTGGAAGTGGGTGGTTACAATGAACAAAGGAGGTAAGTATAGACTAACTAATGGCAACAGACAAGAGATCCGCCAGCTAGTCCATCATTTTCCCCCTCAGTCTGTATAAAAACTACCGCAGTTTCACGGAATAGGATCGCTCCATACTCTCTATATGTCATCATTTTCTATAGCTTTGTCTATCAATTTCAATAATCAGTGCGCTGGTCGTTGAAAAAACTAAAGCG